ACCCGCCTAGCCATACTTCTCCACCTACCCACGGTTTCCTTGCTGTGTGAGGCCGCACTAAAAGCTCATGCGGCGCCCCGTCTACACCTGTGATCGGACTGGGTGGAAACAGGGTCAACCCTATCAATGGTACTTTTTGGAATTTTTACGACCCCCCCCCCTTCATGGGCGATTTGATACGACCCGCGATTTGATACAACCCCCTTCCTGTATGTAATACTTGCGTGCAAGGGAAAGCAATTCCCTAAGTGTGTGGACCATTCCGCTTAAATTTTACTTACGCCCACCCCGGAGCTTCCCTCTCCTGCCAAAAAGCGGATAACTTCACGCGATATGAACTGTCGCACCACGGCCCCCACCGGACCCAATACTCCAGCTACACTTCGGTTTCATATGTGGTTTCGTGGCTGGAATCCATGTCGCCAAGAATCTCACTGCCGGCCTCCGAGAGTGTACGACCACCCCCCGTTGGTACTTGTCGCAACACAGGGTTGACCCTGGGTGGAGATCAGCCATGCCCTAGAAACCCTTGCTTCATCCTCGACTACTTGCCCTAGAAGCACTCCCGCCTTTCCTGAACGGAACGCAGTTTGGGACAAAGAATCAATTTATAGAGCTGTTCAACGACTGATTCAATTCCTAGCTCCCGTTTCTGAGATGGTAACGGGTACTATGCGCGGATCACTCGTGGCTCTGACCTCTGCCGGTTCGGTTTGAAAATATTTACAAAACGGTCCGGGTGGGTAAGTATTATATATTATTTGGGCTGAGTAATTAATCAGCGTTCCCACTCACTCACATGGCACCTGAGCGTGTAATGCAATCAGAGCTGAGGAATGCAGAAGGACCGGGGCGAGGAGAACGAACTCTTATTGAGGGAAAGTTCAGAGATATGCGCAATGAAAAACATCAAAAATATGAAAAAAATATGGAGACCAGTAAAGAGGAAGGACGGATGCAGCCAGGGTCAACCGTGCGGTGCGCAGATTTCAAAATTGTCATGACCTCCCCACCTGTCACTGGGACCTCCTTTTATCAGCTGTTTATGTCTTCACCTATATTTCTTCACCCACCATTAATGTATGGCCGTAATCCACATAGGAGGAGGTGGACATGTCACGTACTTGTCTCGCTCAGGGCGCTTCAACCGAAGCAACCCTTTTTCAGTTTCGTTCTCATGGAATGTTATATGAAAATCTGGAACTCCAAATTGTTTTCTTCCCAAAAGTATTTGAAATGTTGCAAATGTTCAATTTCAAAAAATCGTCCCGTTGTTCCGTTTTTTGTGCACACGCGAGTTTTCGACATTCAAACATTCATAACTTTCTTCATAATCAACTTTTTGCAGATGTCTAAGGCTAATTAGAAACTAGAAGATTAGAGCTTCCAAACTAAGGCCAATTTTTTTTTCAGAGGACACACTCCCTTGAGGAATAGTCCCGTTGTTCCGTTTTTTTACTGGTTTGCGGTCCGTTTCTTCAGAACACCTGGGTTTCATCACAAACGTCTTTAGCTTTCTTCATAATCATCTTTTTGCAATCTCCAAGGCCATAAGAAACTAGAAGATCGGGGCTTTTGAAGGAATTGACACTTTCTGAAGGATCCCTTGAAGGAATAAAAAATAAAAAAATAGTCCTGTTGTTCCGTTTTTTTTGCTCTATTTAATTTGAGGTTATTTTCCTGTAACGAAAGTATTCAATCTTCAAACGCCCATAAATTTTTCGAAATTGGTGTATTGGAGACGGTAAAACCTATCGAAACCTGAAATCAGTGCAGATGCTAGATTCCACTGGAAAGCCTTGTAATGGAGACCTTTCTTCTGCCAAAATTTCCAGTTGGGACTCTGGAAGTCTCGAATCCGCCGTCTCTGTTGAGCTCTGTCCCAGTCCGATTTGATCATCGTGGTTTCCCCAAAAGAATTTGTTTGCGCATACTATCTGCGATATGAATTGATTCAGCAAGATTCCTGCTCTGGGATGTGCCATTCCATCGTCTGAGGCCAATAGTCGCAGTAGTAGTTAGACTAATGTCCTCCTTTCCTCCTTTGCCACATTGCCATGCCTCGGTACCTTCAAATTTGTGACTGGAGCTTGTTTTTACTACTGCCCCTTCACTGGCAAAGCAGATTGACCCTGCACGGCCCTGGGGTGACTTTCAGGAGAACTCAGGGGCATGCAAAGGCTGCTTCAGTGGAATATGCAGTTCATCGACGCAGAGTTCCAGCCGACAAAATTGCCACAAGAGTATAAAGTTTGGGGATCAACATTTGAACTTGAAATCTCTTATTATTGAGAACTATGACTTCCAGACACCCCAGGGGCCGTATGCAGGAGAATGGCCCTCAAACGCTTGAGGTTGCACCTTGGAGCTTAGGTAGGGGCTAGTCCAATAGTCAGCCTAACGCAGATGTCATCATACTATTTCGCTGGTTAATTTCACTTTTACCATTCGACATGTTTATTTCTACCACGGGCGAACGTCACCTTTTTACGCCCAGTGTAACTGCATGAACTTGTTTGCTATGTAGTTGAATGGGCTCGTTCTAGCTCTTACCAAACCCTGTACGAGCTCAAACGACATTTCTGCAAAAAGGAGGATACAATACAAGTGAGGTGGGCACGCCGTATTTTTTGAGTACGGTAGGCGCGAAGTGTGTGTAAGTGGGACTGCTCACTTAGGGCCGTATGCTATGCTTCCCCGAAGCTAGGCGATCCAAAGTTTCTCTTAAATTTATTTGCTTCGAACGGTATAGTTCTTCATTTTCAGAGCATGTTTACTTTTACCTACAGGGAGGATAGCATAGGCCGCACGCATAGTCTATCAGATTACAGGTTCATGACGCCTATATCTGAAT